GCCGCAACCATGGCCGCGAGGTCCACGTCGACGCCGTCGATCTCCTTCTCGAGCGCCTTGACGTCATCCTCGGCGTCGGCGACGGCCCGCTCGAGCTCGGCGACGTCCGCGGCCGCGTCGCCGTCGCCCGCGGCCGCGGCCTCCTTGGCGTGCGACAGGTCCTCGCGCTTCGCCGCCGCGTCCTCGGCGGCGCGCTTCCGCCGCGCCTCCAAACGCGCCTTCAGCGCGTCCCGCTTCGCGCGGCGCTCCGCCTCTAGAGCGGCGTCCAGCCGCGCCATCTCGCGGTCCCGGGCCGCGCGGAGTTCCGCCGCGAGGTCGCGTTCCGCGTCGTCCGCGTCGTCGCCCAAACCCGCGACGGCCGCCTCGGCGGCGGCGACGTCGCCGCGCGCGTCGGCGGCGGCCTGGCGCGCCTCGTCGAGCTCCAAAAGGTGCGCGGCCTCGTCGTCCGTGCCCTTCCAGACCTCCGCGTCCGTCGCCGCGAGCGCCGCTTTGGCGTCGGCGGCGTCGGCCCGCGCCTTCGCGGCCGCGAGGTCCTGCTCCGCGCGCTTGCGCCGCGCGTCGAGGCGGGCGGCTAAGGCCGCCTGCTTGCGCTCCTGTTCCGCCAAAAGCTTGGCCTCGAGGGCCGCGCGCTCCTCGGCCTGCGCGTCTCTTAGCGCGGCCGCGCCGCTCCGGAGGTCGTCCTCGCCGTGGAGGTTCGCCGCCGCCTCGTCGTCGTCGAGCTTCGCTAAGACGTCGCCGACGGCCGTGGCGTCGGCGGCCGCGCGCTCGGCGTCGGCCTTGAGGTCGTCGGCCATCCGTTTCAAAGACTCGTCGTCCGGGTGCTCCGCGGCGCCGCGCGCGGCGTCGTCGGCCGCGAGCTTGGCCTGGCGCGCGGCGTTCTCCGCGGCGCGCTTCTTCGCCTCGAGGCGCGCGCGCAGGGCCGCCTGGCGCCGGCGCCGCTCCGCGTCGAGGTCGCCGTCGAGCTTGGCGCGCGCGGCGTTGGCGCTCTTCGCGAGCTCCGCGGCGAGCGCGTCCTCGTCGTTTCCGTCGGCGTCGTCGAGCGCCTCCAGGGCGTCGCGGGCTTTCGTGGCTGCGGCGTCGGCCTGCTCCGCCTTGAGCTCCGCCGCCTGGGCCGCGAGCTGCAAATCGACGTCGTCGGGGTCCGCGTCCGCGCGGTCGCGCGCGGCGTCGGCCAAACGCTCCGACTCGTCGGCGACGGCGTCCGCGTGGGCCTTGTCGAGCTCGGCGGCGCGGCGCCGCGCCGCCAATCGCGCCTTCAACGCCAGCTCCTTGGCGCGGCGCTCCGCGTCGAGCGACGCGTCGAGGCCCGCCCGCTCGCCCGCGGCGTCGTGGTGCAGCTTCCGCGCGGCGAGGTGGCGCTCGGCCTCGGCGTCCGCGGCGGGCGACGCGCCGAGCTGGTCCTTGAGCGCGTTCGACGCCGCCATGTGGGTCTGCTCCGCGCCGTGGTTCGCCGCGAGCGCGTCGAGCGCGGCCTTCTTCTTCTGCTCGAGGTCGTCCTCGACGTCGCGCTTCTTCCGCCCGCGGCGCCGCGGCGCGATGCGCGTCTCCAGGTCCGCGCGCGCGCGCTCCGCCTGGGCGTCGAGCTGGCGGCTCACGGTCGCGTGCTCCTTCGCGTGCGCGGCTTCCAACGCGGCCGCGCTCTCGCCCTCGTAGAGCTGAGTGAGGTGCTCCGCGTGCTCCGACTCCGCGGCGGCGATCTCGCGCGCCTCCTCGTCCGCCAGAGCCGCCGCGAGGGCCCGCGTCTCCGCGTCCTCGTCCGCGGCGACGGCGGCCTCCGCGTCGCCCGCCGCGAGGCGTTTGGCGCGGAGCTCCGCCAGGCGCCGCTGGAGCGCGGCCTTCTTGTGCGCGGCCTCCTCGGCGAGGTGGCTCTTCAGAGCAGCTAAATCGCGCTGGTGCACCGCGCGCACCGCGCGCGCGTCGGCCTCCGCGACCTCCTCGGGCGACACGTTGTGCGCGCCGTCCGTAGAAACTTCGACGCCGCGCGGCGAGTCCGGCTCGTCGGCGTCGTCGCCGTCGCCGTCGCCGTCGTCGCCCGCGGCGGCCGCCGCCGCCGCGACGGCGAGGCGCTCCTCGAGCGCGGCGCTCTCCGCCGCGTGCTTCTCGGCGAGGATGGCCTCGGCGTCCTCGTCGAGGTCCTCGAGCGCGCCGAGCTCCGCGAGGCGGAAGGAGTGGAGCTGCTTCTCGCGCTCGAGCATGTGGGCCGCCTCGGCCTTCGAGGCCGCGATGGCCTCCTCCATGATGTGCTGGTCCTTGTCGGCGAGGTCCGTCTTGCCGACCTCGTGGCCGAGGCGCTCGTCGAGGCCCTGCTCGAGCACCTTCATGTGCTCCTCGGCGATGGCGTGGACGTCGTCGATCTCGTGGTGGGCCTCGCGCGGCGACCCCACGGGCCGCTTCTGCAGCTCGTCCATCATGTCCTTGATCTGGTCGGACGTCGCGCCGCCCGGCTGGCCCGACAGCTTCTCCAGAATCGCGCGGAGCTGGTTCTGGACCTCGTCGAGCTTCGCGTCCTGCGGCAGGTCGTCGAGCGCCGCGCGGACGGCCGCGTCGAGGTCCGCGCGCGCGGCCTCGGCCTCGTCGCGCTTCGCCGCGGCCGCGTTGCGCCGGAGCTCCGCGGCGTCGCCGCCCGCGAAGCCGCCGAAGATGGCCCTCAGAGCGGCCGCTAACTGGTCCAGGAGGTCCGCGAAGGTCTCGACGCCGCCGAGCTTCACCTGCTCGCAGGCGAGGACGCCGTTCGCGCCCTCGCTGAGCGGCGGCGCGAGGTCCGCCGCGAGCTGGCGCTCCCGCTTCGCGAGCGCGGCCACAAAGTGGCCGCCGCGGCCCTCGAACTCCGCCAGCACCTCCGCCAGATGGTGCGCGGCCGCGTCCGTCGCGTCGTCGAAGCCGTCGAGCGTCTTGATCTTCTCGACGACGTTCACGGGCAGCACGACGTCGCCGTGCGCCTCCGCGAAGGCCTCGAAGGCGGCCTTATAATTCTGGCGCCGCCGGAGCTCCGCGTCCGTGCCGGCGACGAGCTGGTCGTGGATGACCCGCACGAGCGCGTCGACCTCGCCGCGCACGCGCCGCAGCGTGTCGCTCTCGGGCACGGCGCCGCGCTCCTCTAAAGCGACCTCCGTCGCCTCGCGGACCTCCTCGACGACGCGGCGCGCCATGCGGTCGCCGCCCTCCTCGAGCAGCACCGCGAGCTGGCTCGCGAGGCGGAAGACCTCGGCCTCGGCGCCCGCGGCGGCGCCGTCGTGGAGCCGCCGCGCCGTCGACCCGTGGAGCAGCATGTGGAGCGCCTCCTTGGCCTTGTTCGGCGACGCGTGGTCCGCGAGCGACGCGGCGACGAGCCGCTTGAGCTCGTCGGCCTCGTGGGTCACGGCCTCGTGGAGCTGGCGCACGAGCTCGCGCTGGCCGAAGAACTCCTGCTCCACGAGGTCGTGGTGCCGCTGGAGCTGGCGCGCGAGCTCCTCCTCGTCCAAATCCTCGAGGTCCTCGTCGTCCTCGTCCAAATCGCGCGCGCCGCCCGCGCCCGGCCGCAGCGGCGGGCCGTCGGACGCCTCGCCGCCCTTGCGGAAGACCGCGCCCTTCTTCGCGTGCTTGTCGAGGTCCGCGTGCTTCGCGCGGTCGCGGTACCGCGCGCCCTTCTTCGTCTTGATGCTCCAGGCCTGCTTCCGGAAATAATAGATCGCGCCGATGACCCCGAAGATCATCAACGACAACCCGCCCAGCAGCCCGCCCAGCACCTCCCAGTCCGGGTCCAGCACGATGTCGTCGGAGAGCTTGCCGCCGACGGCGTTGAGGTTCGCCGACGTCATCGGCGTGAACGCGGCCTCCGTCGAGCACTCCGTGCCCTCGTCCATGACCTTGATGAGCGTTAACACGTCGGACGCCGCGGACATGGAGAAGACGTAGAGCCCCGACTCCGTGAACGTGAACGCGAAGGAGCTCACCGTCGCGCTCGAGCTCGCCGTCTCCGCGAGCGACGTGAACGCCGAGTAGTCAAAGTCCGCGTTGCTGTTGAGCAGCGACGACGACTCGTAGGTCGGGTAGTAGGCGTTCGACACGTCGAAGAGGATCGTCGACCCCAGGGTCACGCAGACCACGGGGTTCGAGATCGACGCGTCGTCCTCGGCGTCCTCTAAGACGCGCGACGTCGACAGGAGCGCCTCGTGGAGCACGCGCCGCGAGTGGTCCGCCAGGGTCTCGTTCGTCCGCCAGGCGTGCGCGCTCGTCGCCCGCCGTCGCGCGTCCTCGGCGAGGTGGCGCCGCCGCCGCAGCGACTCCGAGTCCGGGTCGACGCCGAGCGCCTCCAAACGCCGCCGGCGCCGCCGCGCCTCGCGGAGCGCCGCGCCGGAGCCGTAGTTGCCCGCGAAGGACGTCGACGACACGGACATGGACTGGACCTCGCAGTCGTCCGTGTTGCAGACGACGTCGCCGTAGTAGCCGTCCAAGTCGGACGTCGGCACGGCGACGGACGTGCCGTTCGCGTCCGTGGTCACGAAACTGCCGAGCGACGCGTCGTAGGACACGGTGTCGGAAGAATCGCGGCAGGCCTGGTCGCACTCCTCGTCGAGCTGCTGCATGCCGTAACACACGCAGAGCCCGCTCTGCGTGTCTCTTTCCCCGCCGGACGCGCCGCACTGGCCGGAGCAGTCGTCCTCCTCCGTGCACTGGCCGAGGTGGTCGCGCATGTTCTCGTCGGAGCACCGCTCGTAGACCTCGGGCTGGCAGTCGGACGCGTCGTTCGTCGTCGCCGACTTGAAGGTCACGGGGTCGAACCAGACGTAGCCCGGGTCGCAGGGGCAGAGGCCGCTGCTCTGGAACGCGCGGTTCAGGCCCACGCACGCGCACCGCGCGTTGCCGAGGCCGACGGCCTTGGACGTCGACGAGCACTCCTTGCAGTAGGCCTGGCCCGCCATGTCCTGGTAGGCGTCGACGTTGCAGAGGACGCAGGCCGACGCGTTCGACGAGCCCGTCAGCGGGTTCGACGACCCGGGCGCGCACTGCGTTTCTATGGTGGACCCGGAGGGGCAGTAGCTCCCCGCGGGGCACTCGTAGCCCCTGTCGAGCCAGCGGTCCGACGGCGTCGCGGACCGCGTCTCCCCGAGGCAGACGTAGCCCGGGAGGCACTCGGCGCACTCGAGGCGCTTCGGGTCCGCGCCGTGCGTGCCCGGCGGGCAGACCTCGCACGAGTCGGCGACGGACGTCCGCGAGTTGTTCGCGTCGACCTTGTTCTTGTAGCCCAGGGGGCACCAGCGGTACTCGCCGGACATGGGCGGGCAGTAGGTGCCGTTGGGGCAGAGCTTCGGCGCCAGCGACCCCTGGGGGCAGTAATAGCCCGCCGGGCAGTCGAAGGGGAAGCCGCCGCGGTACGAGTCGCCCGCGGGGCAGTACTGGCCCGCGGGGCAGATCGTGCGGTTCGCGGAATATTTCGGGCAGTAGTAGCCGATCTCACCGCGCGGGTCCGCGCAGTGCACGGGGATGCCGCTCCCGGGCCCGCAGAACGAGTCCGCGGGGCAGCCGAGGCACGCCGTCTGGTTCGTCGCCCGCAGCTCCGGCTGGTAGTAGCCCCCCGGGCATTCGATGGGGCCGTCGCTCTTCTCGAGGCAGTAGTGGCCCTCGGGGCAGGGGTACTGCTGGTGGTAGGCCGTGCCCGGGTACTCGCAGAAGGCGCCCGCGGGGCAGGGTTTGCAGTGCTCCTCCGCGTACTGCGCGAGGTCGCTGTTGTACGTGTAGCGCGGGCAGGGGATGGGGTCGAAGCCCAGGGGCGAGTAGGCGCCCCGGGGGCAGGGGATGGGCACGGGGTCGCCGGGCACGCACTCGTAGCCCTCGGGGCAGGGCGCGCAGTCGTCGACGCTCGACGCGTGCGTCCAGTTGCGCCACGTCGCGTTCGTGCATAAAACGGGATCCGGCGACGCCTTGGGACAGTAGTGCCCCGGCGGGCACTGGCCGTTCGTGAAGACGGACCAGACGCTGGCGTCGTAGATCATCTTGTCCTCGACGGCGACGTCGCGCGTCGGCGTCGCGGAGCCCGCGCCGCTGCGGCAGAAGTGGCCCGCCGCGCATTCGCCCGTGACGTTCCCGTCGACGCAGTACATGGACGCGGGGCAGGCCGCGCAGTCCGATGCCGTCTCTAAGGCCGTCTCGTGGCCCCAGGACCCGGCGGGGCACAACACGCCGGCGCCCGAGCCGGCCTCGCAGTAGCGCTGCAGCGGGCAGTCCTCGGGGACCGTCGTGTTGCCGCGGCAGACCTTGCCCGCGGGGCAGACGAGGCAGCTGCCCTGGCCGCTCGAGGGCTGGTAGGTGCCCGGCGCGCAGCCGACCTCGTGCTCGCTGCCCTCGGGGCAGTAGTGGCCCGGCGGGCAGGGGTAGCCGCTGCTGTCGACGCCGTCCGGGTTCGGGACTTGGGCCGCGCCGACGCAGACGGACCCCGCGGCGCAGAGCCCGCCCGTCGCGTCGGAGCCGTCGGGCTGGGGGCTCGTCGCCCCCAGGGCGCAGTAGTGGCCCGGCCCGCACAAACCCTCGGGCGCCGTGAGGCCCGAGGCCTGCGAGTACGTGCCCGGCGGAGAGGAAGTGCATTCAGACGCCGCTTCCAACATCGTCCCCGTCGAGAAGCTCCCCGGCGGGCACGGGTACTGCTGGGCGAAGCGCGTGCCTTCGGGGCAGTAGTACCCCTCCACGCAGGGGTCCGGCGTGATGGACCCCGCGGGGCACCAGTAGCCCGCGGGGCACGCGGGGCACGCCGCGAGATTCTCGGTGGGCCGTACGTGCCCGCGACGCAGTCCGTCGGCACCGCGTTGCCGCCGGGGCAGCTGTGGCCCGCCAAACAGACCAAGGTCGCCGTGGCGTCGCCGCCGGGGCAGTAAAACCCCGGGTCGCAGGGCACGGTGGGGTAGACGATGGCCGCCGTGTCGCAGACGAAGCCCGGCTCGCACGGCAGGCACTCGGACGCGTTCCGCAGGCCCCGGGCCGTCGACATGGTGCCCGGCGGGCACTGCTCCGGCGCCGAGCAGTTCGACGGGCACCAGTGGCCCGGCGGGCAGACGCCGTTCGTGCCGTTGACGTCGAGGGCGTCGTTGCACGTCTCGCCGTTGTAGACCCAGGTGTCGTTGATCCCCGGCGTCGGCGACGCGGCGCCGGCCGCGCAGAAGAAGCCCTCCTCGCAGATGCCCGACGGCCGGTACAACGCCGCCTCGCCGCAGTACATGCCCGGGGAGCACGGCGTACAGTCCGACAATTCCTTCAAGCCCGTGTAGTTGTCGTACGATCCGCCGAGGCCCGCGCGCGCGGGATCGTACGTGCCCGCCGGGCAGGGGTTATCGACGCCCAAGCCCGTCAGCGGCGGGCAGTAGTAGCCCCGGGGGCACAGCACGATCTCCTCGGCCCCGACGGGGCAGAAGGCGCCCGCGGGGCAGTCCGCGCACGTGGTGGCGCCCGTCGCGTTGTTGTACGTGCCCAGAGGACACGGCACGGGCTCCGCGGTGCCCGCCTCGCACTGGTGGCCCCGCGGGCAGATCAGCGTCGAAATCACGTCGCCGCCGGGGCAATAGAACCCGACGGCGCAGGTCTGGTTCGTCGAGACCATGCCGCTCTCGGGGCAAATAAACCCGCCCGGGCACGCCGCGCACTCCGACTCCGCGTGCAACCCGCGCGCGTTCGACGCCGTGCCCGGCGGGCACTGCGTCGGGGCGATGGAGCCCTCCTCGCAGTAGTGGCCCACGGGGCAGACGCCCGAGAGCTCCGCGTCGCTCTGGTCCGCGCACGTCTCGCCGACGTACGTGTCGTCGTCGCCGTCGCCGGGCGTCGCGGTCGTCGAGCCCGACGCGCAGTAGTAGCCGGACTCGCAGGGGCCCGTCGGTTGGGCGAGCCCCGGGGACCCGCAGTAGGAGCCCGGCGGGCAGGGGTCGCACTCGTCGACGGTCTTGAGCCGTTGGTCCAGCGACCGATTCGCGTACGTGCCCGCGGGGCACAGGAATTGGGCGCCGTAGCGCGTCCCGTTGGGGCAGTAGCTCCCCAGCGGGCAGTCCGCCGGCGTCACCGTCGCGTTCTCGCAGAAATAGCCCGCAGGACACAGCTTGCAGTCCGTCTGCCCCTCCGCGTCCTGGTACGTCCCCGCCAAACACGGCGCGGGCGCCGGGTCGCCGCCGTCGCAGAAGTGGCCCGGGCTGCACAGGAGCGTGGGCACGACGTCGCCGCCGGGGCAGTAGAACCGCGGCGCGCAGGGCTTGGAGGCGACGACCGTCGACGCGTTCGGACACGTGAAGCCCGCGGAGCACGGCGGGCACTCGGAGACGTTGCGCAGGCCCCGCGCGGTGCTCTCCGTCCCCGGCGGGCACTGCGTCGGCGCGATGGACCCCTCTTCGCAGTAGTGTCCCACGGGGCAGACGCCCGAGAGCTCGCCGGGCTGCAGCGAGTTGCACGTCTCGCCCACGTAGGTCCAGTGCTCGCCGTCGCCGGGCGTCGACGTGTTCGAGCCCGACGCGCAGTAGTAGCCCGCCGCGCAGGGGCCCACGGGCGCCGCCAAACCCGTCTCGTTGCAGTAGAGCCCCGGCGTGCACGCCTCGCATTGATCGGTGCCGTTCAGCATGGTCCCGTTGCCGAACGAACCGTCCGGGCAGGGAAACGCCGTCGCGTACTCCGTCTTCGCCGGGCACGCGTAGCCCCTGGGGCAGATCTGGGGGACAGCCGTGGCCTGCTCGCAGTAGAACCCTGCGGGGCAATCCAGGCACGAGTCCTGGGCCGTCGCGTTCTGGTACGTGCCCGGTTCGCACGGCGCGGGCGCAGCGTCGCCGCCCGCGCAGTAGTGGCCCTCCGGGCAGGTGACGGTGGCGACGATGTCGCCCCCGGGGCAGGAGAAATTGGCGGGGCAGGGGATCGTCGCGTTGATCGTGCCCGATTCGGGGCAGACGTAGCCCGCCGTGCACGGCCGACACTCGGTGACGTTGTGCAGGCCGCGCGCCTTGCTCTCCGTGCCCGGGGGGCACTGCGTCGGCGCGATGGAGCCCTCTTCGCAGTAATGCCCCAGGGGGCAGACGCCGTTCGTCTCCGAGGGCCGCATGACGTTGCACGTCTCGCCCAGGTAGCGCTCGAACTCGCCGTCGCCGGGCGTCGCCGTCGCCGACCCCAGCGCGCAGTAGAAGCCCGCCTCGCAGGGCCCCTGGGGCTCCGGCAGGCCCGGCGCGCCGCAGTAGTGGCCCGGCGAACAGGGCTCGCAGTCGGCCTCGTGGGCCAGCCGCGTCCTGTTGGTGAAGGTCCCGTTCGGGCACGGGTGCTGCGAGCCGTACTGCGTGTGCAGCGGACAGTAGAAGCCCTTCGGGCACCACTGGGGCGTCACCGTCGCGAGCTCGCAGTAATGCGAAATGGGGCACGCCGCGCATTCGGACGCGCCCGTGACGTTCGCGAACGTGCCGGGCGCGCACGGCTCCGGGTCCGCGTCGCCGCCCGCGCAGTAGTGGCCCTCCGTGCACAACAAGGTCGGCTGCACGTCGCCGCCCGGGCAATAGAACCCCGGCTCGCAGGGGATCGTCGCGTCGATCGTGCCCGAGTCCGGGCAGTAGAACGACGCCTCGCAGGGCTCGCAGTGCGAGAGGTTGAAGCGTCCGAGCGCGCCGTTCTGCGTCCCGGGCGGGCACGCGGTCGGCGACGTCGACCCCTCGGGGCAGTAGTGGCCGCGGGGGCAGACGCCGTTCGCGTCGTCCTCCGTGGACTGGTCCGCGCAGGTCTCGCCCTGGTAGATGCTCGTCGCGAGCTGCTTCTCGTCGGGCGTCGCGACGTTCGCGCCGAGGCCGCAATAATACCCGCCCGCGCACTCGCCCGTGGGCCAGCCGAGGCCGTCGGTCTCGCAGTAGTGGCCGCCGAAGCAGGGCTCGCAGCCGTCGACGCTCCGGAGCATGGTGCGGTTCGAGTAGGTGCCGTTGGGGCACGCGAACTCCGTCGCGTACGTCGTCTCTTTGGGACAGTAGAAGCCCTCCGGGCAGTCGCGCGGGTAGATGGCGGCCTGCTCGCAGTAGGACCCGGGCGTGCAGGCGTGGCAGCTCGCGGCGCCCGTCGTATTCTGGAAGGACCCCGCGGCGCAGGGCTCGGGCGCGCGGTCGCCGCCCGCGCAGTAATGCCCCAGCGTGCAGCTCCGATTCGAGCTCGCGTCGCCGCCGGGGCACCAGAAGCCCGGCGCGCAGGGCTCCGTCGCGTTGACCGTGCCGCTCTCGGGGCAGACGAAGCCCGCCGTGCAGTCCTTGCACTGGCTCAGGCTCGTGAGGCCGAGCGCGTAGCTCATCTTCCCCGCCGGGCACGGCAGCGGCGTGCCCGAGCCCGCGGGGCACGCGTGGCCCCGGGGACAGATGCCGTACTGGCCCGTGGTGACGGCGCGCGCGCGATGCAGCGCGAGGACCAGCAGCAGCGTCGTGGGGCGCGGACGCGCCATGGCGTGCGGCGTGCGGCGACGAGCGGGCTGCCGATGCGGGCTGCTAAAACGCTCGGCGACGTTCCGCACTGCGTTGGTTGTTGCGACGCGACCGGCCTTTTTTTTGGCGGCCGCGCTGCTCAGCGGACGAAGCGATGCGGGCTGCCTCGCTCGCACCGCGGGCTCTCGCATCGGTTGCCACTCTTCGACGGGGAAATGCTTGATTTGCCGGGCTTTGTACCACTGGCATCCGTCGAAGGTGATACTGCAGCGCGTTGAAGAGATCACTATCGACCTGTATCTCGAGAGAACTCGCGTCGTGGCCCCCGCGCGCACATAGCCCGCTTGCGCCGCCGCTCCCCCAACACTTTTTAGTCGAGCCGGGTGCGGGCGATGGCGCCGAGCGCGGCCGCGGGGACGCCCGCGGCCGCGGCGCCCGCGGGGACCGCGCCGCGGACGAGCGAGCCGACGGCGACGGTCGCGGCCGCGCCGAGGCTCGCGCCGGGGAGGAGGGCCGCGCCCATGCCCACGACGGCGCCGTCGCCGACCGTGGCCCCGGCGCCGACGACGGACGCGCCTCCCACGAACGCGTAGTCGCCGACGGCCGCGCGCTCGCCGACGACCGCGCGCGCGCCGACGAGCGCGAAGTCGCCGAGGCGCGCGCCCGCGCCGACGACGGCGCAGGGCTCGACGTTGACGCCGCGGCCCACGGTCGCGGTCCCGTGGACGCGCGCGGTCGGGTGGACGACCGTCGCCCAGGCCGCGCGCGGGTGCCGCGCGACGACCGCCCGGCGCGCCTCGTTCTGGCCGAGCGCCAGGACCCACGCGGCGTCCGCGGGCGCGTCGGCGAGGGGCCCGGCGACGGGCACGCCCAGGACGCGGCCGCCGTGGCGGCGCGCGTCGTCGTCGTAGACGGCCGACGGCTCGCGCGCCTGGTCGCGGAGCTCGCCGACGAGCGTCGCGCAGTGGCCGCCGGCGCAGACCATGACGAAGGCGCGGCCGTCGTCGGGTCGGAGGAAGCCGCCGGGCGCCCAGCCGCGCGCGCGCTCGCGCCGCCACGCGCCCATCTCCGCGCACGCCGCGTCGACGACCGCCGCGACGTCCTCGACGTCGTCGTCGGCGCGCGCGTCGGCGAGGGGCCGCGCGGGCGCGCCGGCGACGACCGTCCCGGCGTCGACGTCCGCGACGACCGCCGCGCCCGCGCGGACGACCGCGCGGCTTCCGACCTGCGTCCGGGACACCCCGTCAAAAAACGGAAACCCCCGGGGGTTCTCCTAGACGCCGCCTCCTACGCGGACGCCCGGCTTGAACGCGCAGCCGTCCTCGACCACGGCCCCCGGCTCCACGACGACGTTGCCGCCGAAGCAGCAGTTGGCGCCGACGACCGCGTCGGCGCCGATCGACGTGTCGTGGCCGACGAGCGCGCCGGGGCCGACGCGGCACCCGGCGCCGAATCGCGTCCGCGGGCCCGCGCGCGCGCCCCAGCCCAGGATCGCCGTCGCGTGCGCCGTCGCGCCGGCGCGCACGAAGGCGGTCTCGGCCGCGTCGAGCGTCGCGAGCCACTCGAGCGACTCGCGGAGGTAGCGCCGCGCGGCGGCCGCGTTGCGCGCGGCCGCGCCCGTCCGGCGCCGCGGCGCCGCGGACCGCAGCGCGTCGGCGGCCTCGGCGACGGAGGGGTGCCGGAACAGGAAATCCGCGGGCACCGCCGCGGACAGGTCGCGCGCGAGCCTGGGCAGGACAAGAGAGCGAAATTCCCAACTTCAAAGGCTCCTATCCCGGCCGTTTTCCACTCGTTTCGGCTGATCTTTGGACGAGCGATCATCTCTCGGAACGGTATCGAAGCGTGGACGCTTTTTCTAGAACGCGCGCGCGCGGAACACTCACGTTGAAGCGACGTTGAATCACCCTTGTCCTGCCCTGGCGCGAGCCGCGACCGCACGCGGACGGCGCCGAGCGAACTTCCGCCGAGCGCGAAGAACGGCGCGTCGCAGGGGACGTCGCCGCGCCTGAGCTCGTCGCGGAAGGCGCGGCCGACAGCGTCGAGCAGCGCGTCGGCGCCGCTCGCGCCGCGCGCGCCGCCGCGCGCGGGCGGCGCGAGCCGCCTCCGGTCGATCTTGCCCGACGACGTCCGCGGCCACGCGTCGACGCCGACGACATCCGCGGGGACCATGTAGGCCGGCAGCGACGACGCCTCGAGCGCCGCCGCGACGGCCGGCGCCCGCGCGGACGGGCAGACGTAGCCGACGAGGCGCGGCTCGCCGCCGACGTCCGTCCGCAGCAGGACGCACGCGTCCAGGACGCCGTCGACGTCGCGGCACGCGTGCTCGATCTCGCCGAGCTCGATGCGGCGGCCGCGGAGCTTCACCTGGAAGTCGAGCCGGCCGCCGAACTCGAGCTCGCCGTCGCCGAGCCACCGGACGCGGTCGCCGGTCCGGTACGCCCTCCGCGGCGCGCCGACGTAGGCGCCCGGCACCTGCTGGAGGAAGGGGTCGTCGACGAAGCGGTCCGCGGTCAGCTCGGGCCGGTTCAGGTAGCCGCGCGCGGCCTGGACGCCGCCGACCCACAGCTCGCCGTAGGGGCCCGCGCCGAGGAGCGCGCCGTCGTCCGGGTCGACGACGTAGCACGGCACGTTCGGCAGGGGCCTGCCCAGCGAGTCGAGGCGGAGCGCGGCGCCGCGGAGGCCGAGCGGCACGTCGCGGCGCGTCGCGTTGATCGTCGCCTCCGTCGGCCCGTACCTGTGTGCAAATCAAATCTTCAACCCGACTTCAATGTGCGCGTATTCGAATGTTTTGACACGAGCACTTCCGCCGTGCTTCGAGAACTCGCTGAGAGCAATCGATTCGTCCAAAAATCAGCCGAATCGACTTCGATTTGACCGAGCTAGAGAATTCTCAAGTTTGGCCCCGACGTCCCAGCTCACTGGTTGATTTGCACACAGGCCCGTACCAGTTCCAGAGGACCTTGGTCGCCGCGTGCCGCACGACCCCGAGGGTCATGGCCTCGCCGCCCTGCTGGACGAGCTTGACCGAGGCCGGCATGCGTTCGTAGAGCGCGAGGACCGACGCGACGTCGTAGAGGAGCGTCACGCGCGCGTCGTCGCCTGGGCGGCACGAGAGTGATTCGACGTCGCTTCAACGTGAGTGTGCCGCGCGCGCGCGTTACGGAAAAAACATCCACGCTTCGAGGCCGTTCCGAGAGATGATCGCTCGTCCAAAAATCAGCCGAAACAAGTGGAAACTGGCCGAGATCGGAGCCTTTGAAGTTGGGAATTTCGCTCTCTTGTGCTGCCCTGGTCGTCGCCGACGTCGAGGAGCGCGAGCCCGTCGCGGACGAGGACGCACGTGCCCCCGTAGAGCCCCAACGTGAAGAAGTAGGACTGCTGGAAGGCGTCGAAGACGTAGTTGAAGGCGATCGCGCACCGCTCGGGCGCGCGGGACTCGTACGCGCCGAGGACTCTGCGGTACGGCGCCTCCGCGTGCCGCATCAAACAGCGCAGGGACGCGTGCTCGATCATGACGCCCTTGGGCGCGCCCGTGGACCCGCTCGTGTAGATGACGTAGCACAGCGCGCGGTCCGCGTCGCTGTCGCGCGGCGCAGACGCGACGCGGCCCGCGGCGGCCGCGCCGACGCGGCCCGCGGCGGCCGCGCCGACGGCCAGCGCGACGAGGCGGCCGCGCGATTCGAACGCGGCGGCGGCCTCGTCGTCGTCCGCCGCGTCGCCGTTGACCACGAGCGCCCCGCAGGCCGCGTCGTCGCAGACGAAGAGGCGCCGCGCCGCGGGCCACGTCGGGTCGAGCGGCAGGTACCTGGGCAGGAAAAGAGTGCGATCGGAACGCGCGCGCGCGGAACACTCATATTGAAGCGAAATTGAGTCACTATTTCCCTGCCCTGGCAGGTACGCCGCGCCCGCGTCGAGGACGCCCAGGATCGCCGCGACCATCTCCACGCTCTTGACCACCTGGAGCGCGACCAGCGCGTCGCGCCCGCCCGCGCCCAGGGCGAAGAGCCGCGCCGCGAGCGCCGCCGCCTCGCCCGCGAGCGCCGCGTAGGTCAGCGACCGGCCGTCGCCCAGGAACTCGGCGGCGACCCGGTCCGGCGTCGCCGCCACCTGGGCGTGGATCGCGTCCTGGATCAGCACGCGCGGGTCGCTCGCGTCGTCCACCAGCCGGTTGAATTGGCGCGTCGCCGCGACCGCCATTGCCTTCGGAGATCACAGAGAGCATGGAGAAGCCATCTTTGGGCTGCCATGCAAGCCTTAGCATTATGATGAAAATGCTCGTTGCCCTCACCATGTGGTGCAACGTACATTAAAACGTACACATCGCGGATTTTTTTTTAAACCGAAGGCGAGGGCGGCGCAACGCCGCGCGCGAATGAACGCCCCCCGCGCGCAAGCATAGCCCGCTTACGCCGCCGCCTCCCCCTTGGGCGCGTGCCAGGAGCTGAGCCGGCACTTCTTGAAGTGGGGCGCGAGCGCGGACTTGCGTCCCGGCGCGGTCGCGAGGCACGTCGCCACGTTCTCCGGCTGCTCGACCCAGAGGTGGTGCGCCCTGCCGTCGGCCGCGAGCTTCTCCGAGAGCGCGCGCAGCTGCGGCTCGCCCTTGAGCTCGAGCACGGCCTTGGTCATCGACCCGAGCGCCTCGGGCGCGACGTACGCGCGCGTGTCGTCCGCGCCCATGGACTCGACGACGGCCGCCACGGCCGCGTGGGCGCCCTGGGCGACGAGCGCGCCGAGGGGCCAGCCCTCGGACTCCTGCAGGTCCCGGCGCAGCACGACGTACTGGATGAGCGGGTCGCTCGCTTCGCCGTCGCCGGCCGAGAGCGCGGCCATGGACCGGCGCGCGAGGGCCCGCCGCGCGCCGCCGAAGGATGCGACCTGCTGCGCGAGGAGCAGCGACGCGAAGCGCATGCAACAGCAGGGCAGGCGGCGCGGTGGTGCAGTGCGGCTCGACTGAGATTGTGGCAGCTCTCTCGGGGCTTCAGCATTCGGCGAGCGTCGGCCTCGCGGCCTTCGACGCCTCGAGCTCCACAGTCGTGCGCACGTCACCGAGAAACGGAGCCAACCCCCAGACAAAAAAAAGAAAGAAGGAGACAACAATTGCCGTAAACGTAGGTCGGGGTTCGTGTGGGGCGGGCGCGGTGGGCGCGGCGCTCGGACTCTGGGGGCGCTGACTTTGGGGCGCTGACTTTGGGGCGGCTGATTTTCCCCTCACGGGCTGTCGGCGACGGGGGCCTGGAACTCGGCGAGCGGGGCCTGGAACTCGGCGAGCGGGGCCTGGAACTCGGCGGGCGCGACGACGTCCCCGAGGCCCGCGGCGGCGTCCGACGCGGCGAGCGCGTCCGCGGCGTCGCCGGCGACGGCGACGGCCGGCGCGACGTGGAAGGCCGGCGGCGCGACGCCCGCGGCGAGGTCCGCGAGGCTCGCGGCCTGGTAGGCCGCCGGGTCGCCGACGAGCGGCGCGCCCGCGGCGGCGGCGGCGGCGGCGCCCGCCGCGGCCGGGTCGTAGGAGATCTGGGACGCGTCGACGGACTGGTCGCTCTGGACCGCGCCGTAGGCGGCCGCGGCCGCCTGCACCGCCGCGGCCTGGAGCGCGGCCGCGTCCGCGGCCATGCCCGAGCCGTCGCCCGCCGTCGTCGCGGGGCTCAGCGCGGACGTGTAGAGGGCGCCCTGGGCCGTCATGGTCATCCAGGGCGACTGCGTCGTCGCGATGGTCGCCGAGCTCACGCCCTGGGCCATGGTCCCGTAGGCCGCCGCGCTCGACGACGGGATCGCGAAGGGCATGTACTGGTACTGGCCGTAGGAGCCCGTTGCGCTCGCCTGCTGGAGCTGCTGGAGCGTGTAGGGCGCGCCCACGTTCTGGAGGAAGGCCGCGCCGCCGTAGGCGCCGCCGGGCGCCGCGACGTACTGCGCGCCGCCGGGGAGCGCGGCCATGGACTGCTGGAGCAGGTTCGCCGGGATGCCCCCGGCGAGGGCGCCGGACGTCGCCGTGCCCTGGGCCGCGCTCAGCAGCGCCATCTGCGACGGGTCCATGGCGCCGAGCGCGCCGAGGCCCAGCGGGCCCGCGTCGACCTTGCGCCGCTTCGCGCGCTTCTGCTTCTCGGGCTTGTAGCCGTCGCCGTCGACGGCGCCGCCGTCGGCGTGCGCCTTGGCCTCGTCGGCCTCGCCGTTGGCCTGCTTCTCGAGGCGGTTCACGCGGAGGAAGTGCTTCTGCGCGTGGCTCCGGACCTGCGGCTCGCTCCGCGTGAGCATGACCTGGCTGATCTTCGTCCAGGACCGCCCGTACTTCTGCATGAGCTCCAGGAACTGCTGGTGCTCCTCCTCCGTCCACCGCCCGTGGCGCTGGTTCGGGTTCACGCCTGTCGCGTCGTCATCGAGGCGCGGTTTTCGAAAAAGCGCGCGCGCGCGACGCGCGACGCGCGGCGGGGGCGCCGGCGCGCGGGCCGGGCGCGGCGCGCCGGCGGAGGCGCCGCGGCGCGCCGGCGCGCGACGCCCCCGGAACCCGGACCCGCGCCGCGCGCGGGGCGGGGGCGAACGGACGCGGCCGCCCGACTGTGGGCGTACATGCCGCGACTTTTCAGGAGCTTCGCCTGGTCCGCGGGGTAGCCCTGGCTCGCGAGGGCGGCCTGCGACGGCGCCGCGTCGCGCCACCGGCCGCGGGGGGGGGCGTCCCGGGGCCGCGGGGGGGCGGCGCGCGCGGCACCTGGTATTGCGCCAAGTTCGCGACGTTGAACTGCTGGTAGGCGCTCATGTCCATGAGGCCGCCCTCGGCGCCCCGGCCCATGCCCGCGGCGCCGTAGAGCGCGCCGAGGTTCGCCGGCTGCGTCGCGAAGGGCAGCGCGCCGAGGTTCGCGTACTGGGCCAGGGCCGCCGGCGACGCCATGAGCGGCGACTGCAGGGCCGCCATGGCCTCGGCGCTCAGGGGCGCCGTGGCGACGGCGGGCGCCTCGCCGAACGACACCGGCTGCTGCTCCGGCTCGGCCATAGTTTGGACGGGGGCCCGGGGCACGAAAGCAACGGGGACGACGACGGTGCCGGGATGTGGTCGATACCGAATCACAGCGGATCGGTACTGATACACTGCGCAACAGCCCGAAAGTTAAATGTAAACTGATATGATCTGAAAGGTAGGGACGTTGATGCCGTGTTGACTTCGAGGTCGACGCGATGTTTGCTCGCAACAAGGCCTCGATTCTCGCGCTGGTCGCGACCGCAACACACGCATTGCAACACACGCCGCCGTCGCGCGCGCCGCCGTCGCGCGCGCCGCCGTCGCCGCGCGCGCGCGCTCGCGAGACATGCGACGGAGATCCTGCTCGTGGACCACGTGAACCTGAACCACGAGAAGGGCCGCCACGACCTGCTCCACGCCTTCTACTTCGACTTCCTGGGCTTCGCCGTGGACCCGCGCAAGGCCGAGAACGTGGAAACGGGCAAGAAGACGCTCTGGGCGAACGCGGGCATCCACCAGCTCCACCTCCCAGAGGGCGAGCCGAGGGCGCAGGCGCTCGACGGCCGCATCACCGTGTCCTACGCGTCGCTCGACCACTTCACGGAGGCGCGCGTGGAGCGCGCGCGCGACATCATGGGGGGCACGAAGTTCGACGTGCGGCCGTCGCCCGACGGCTTCGACGTGCGCGACCCCTGGGGCACGCCGTTCGTCGTGCGCGCCGGCGACGGCTTCGCGGACGACCGCGGCGCGCAGCCGGGCGCGCCGAGCGTGCCCGCGGGATTCAGCGACATCACGCTGAACGTGTCGCCCGACGCGGACCTCGCCGGCGTGCGGCGGTTCTACAGGGACGTCATGGGCGTCGACGAGGCCGACGCGAACCTCTACGAGGACTCGCTGCTGATCCTCAACGTCGGGCCGACGACGCTGACCTTCGTGAAGAAGCCCTTCGGCAAGGCGAGACACGCGGAGCTCGGCGTCGACGAGGACGGGCGGCCGACGAACGCGGGGATCCACGTGTCCATGTACGTCGCGGATCTCGGCGCGTGCTACGACCGCGCGGCCGCGCTCGGCCTCGGCTTCGTCAACTACCGCTTCAAGCGCCGCGCCCTCGACCGGGCCGAGGCCCTCGACCAGTGCATGTTCCGCGTCCTCGACGTCGTCGACCCGGAGAACCCGTCCGCGGGGCCCATCGTCCAGGTCGAGCACGAGATCCGCTCCTGCGTCAAGCCCGACGGCTCCAAGTACAAGTCCTGCCCCTTAAGCGAGGTGCCGTGAGTGGGGTCGCCGCGCCGCGCGCGCTCGGAAGGCGGGCGTCGTCGTCGACGTCATCGCGAGCATCTACCGTGAAAACGTCAACATTGGCAATTTCTATTGAGTTCGCTGCTTCGGACACCACTCTGGGCTGCTCCGGAGGCTGCCTCGGGTCGGCGCGGCGGCCATGGCGATCCCGACGGCGATCAAGTACTTTTTGTACATCGAAGCGATCCTCTTCGGGCCGTTCTCGCTCCACCACTACCTGTCGTTCACGGACCGGAAGCAGCTCAAGCACCTGACGAACAACCGCGTGGCGTGCGCCGCCGGCGCCGCGCGCCGCGCGCGCCGCGCCGCGGCTCGATGCGCGCGCCCCCCCCGCCGCAGATGGATGATCATCCACTCGGGCGAGATGCTCAACGGCGTGCGCGACCCGCGTCCGGACCGCGCGCCGCGCGATCGCGCGCCGACCGCGCGCCGCGTCCGCAGGTCGGCGCGTGGGTCGTCATGTTCGTCGTGCTCCACAGCCTCATCGACAACGAGATCTCGGAGCTCGAGCTCGAGATCCTGATCCTGGCCCACAGCCTCTGGATGGGCATGATCCTCGCCTACTGGCCCCTCGCCAAGGAGGCCGCGATCCTCCACCTGCCGCTGACGATCGGCGTCTTCCTCGTCGGCTGGAACTACGTGCCCATCTGGAGCCTCGTCCTCGACTTCGCGATCATGGTCTACGGCCGCGTCAAGTTCTGGACCGACATCTACCCCAACATCATCGTCGACGCCGAGTACGAGCGCGACATGGCGCGGTTCCGCGACTTCATCGTGCCGGGCAACGCCGACGGCGCCGACGGCGAGATCGAGCCCGCGCGCATCCTGGACCGACCGAGGAAAAAGAAGCGCGCCGGCAAGGGCGAGGCGAAGACGGAGGCGCCGCCGGCCGTCCCCGCGGACGTGCCCTAGCAGCCCCCCCCGTCGTAACTCCGCACTCGCGTCGTCGCTCAAATAAAATTCGCTCCCAGCTTACCAGGACGACTCCTCGCCGCCGAACTCGTCGGCCTCGTCGCCCTCGGCGAACTGCTCGAAGTCCTTGAGGCCGTCGAAGAGCATGTGCTTCGCCGTGGACTGGAGGCGGCTCGCGACCATGGTGCCGACGCCCCGCGCGCGGCGCAGGGGCGCCGCGGTCCCGTCGGGCGTGTTGAGGCGCGTCGGCCGCGACGCGTGGGGGTCCGGCTCGAGGTACTTCTTCGCGTTGCGCCGCGCGACCGCGAAGTAGACGCGCGGCTTCTCGCGGAAGAGCAGCCCCAGCTCCGCGGCGAAGCGGTCGCTGTTGCGCTTCGTGCGCATGTCGTAGCCCGGCGGCTGCGACGTGCCGTCCTCGTCGAGCTCCGAATCCGCGAGCGCGGCCTCGGGCCGCTTCTCCGGCGGCACGAGATTCGGCTCCGGGTTCCGGAGCAGTTCGTAGATGCGGCCGTAGAGCCACCGCAAGTCCTTGGCGGCGTCCCAGGTCGCCATGAGCTGCGGCAGCTGCGTGTTCCCCGCCATGGCGATGTCGAAGTTCGCGTGGACGACGCGCCGCGAGAACGCGACGCGCGGCGCGTCGAGCGGGTACCGCGGCGACGCCTGGACCTGCAACCGTAGGATGAAGCCCTCGTAGGGCGTGCCCAGCAGCGCCTCCCCCAGGAACGTCGCCTGGACCGTCGGGTCGGGCTTCGTCGCGTGGAGCGTGATCTCCGCGACGCCCGGCGGGAGGTCGGACGACCCGTCGGGCCCGCCGTGATGCATCGCGTCGACTTCGGCCTTGAGGCGCTCGACGCCGATGCTGCCGACAAAGGAGCGGTGCATGAGCGACGCGTCGACCTGGAGCCGGCCGTCGACCATGCGCTTCAGCAGCTGCGCGAACTCGCCGAAGTCGACGGTGAACGACCGGTCTGTGTCGATCTGCGCGGGAACAGAGTGATTCACCGTCGCTTCAAAGGGGGTGTTCCGCGGGCGCGCGTTCCCCCCCAAAACGCATCCACGCTTCGATACCGTTCCGAGAGATGATCGCTCGTCCAAGAATCAGCCGAAACGAGTGGAAAGCGGCCGAGAGAGGAGCCTTTGGGCATGTCGCACCCTTTTCCCGCCCTGATCGACACCATGGACAGCATGAACTTCAGCTCGTGCTCCTCGAGGGAGTGGCCCAGGGACACCATGGCCGCCTCGAGCTCCTTCATGTCCATGACGCCGTCGCCCGAGTCGTCGTAGAGGCCGAAGGAGTGGGCCAGCTGCGCGACCTCCTCGTCCGTGTAGTCCTTGGCGATCTCCGGCGGCAGCGAGTAGGCCGTGACGCGCTTGCGCACGATCTTGTCGCCCACGCGTAAATCATCCAGCAGCCCCATGAACTCGTCGAAGTCGAGATGGTTCGAGCCGTCCGCGTCGTAGCGCTCGAAGACCTCCGCGACCTCGTCCGTCGGCAGGGGCACGCCGTGCTTCGCGAGGCACTCCTCGACGCCGTTGAAGGTCACGCCCTCGCCGCCGTGGTCCACGAGGGACCGCCACATGGTGTACATCTGGCGCACCTCGGGGCTCATGTCGTTGAGCTGCTGGGGCGACAGCGACATGACGCAGATGCGGCACGCGGGATTCGCGCAGCACGGCGGCAGCGGGATCTTCAGGTTGTTGTGCGGGTGCTTCGCCGCGCGGTTCACGGAGAGGCGGCTCGTCGCGATCCAGGCGCAGACGCCCGGGAACGTGCCGTGGCGGTGCTTGGACACGTGGAGGTCGCGGCCGCAGTGGCGCGCCTTGGCCGCGGCGACGTTCTCGTTCGGGAAGCACGCGGCCATGAGGCGCTTCACGTCCCGCTTCTTGACGAGGCCGTGGGCGAGGCTCCCGCCGATGGCGCGCAACGCGTCCAGCTCCGTCTCGGAGAAGGCGCAGACCGTGTGCGCGGGCAGGTACGTCGGGTCGACGCGCCGCGCGCCGACGGCGCCGAGCCGCGTCGCGCGGCGGTGGATGACGTTGTCGCGGCACCGCGCCCAGGGCGCCTGGACGACGCTGCCCTCGTTCGGCTTCTTCGGCGGGAAGCGGTTCACCATGTGCGGGTTCCAGACCTCGGCGGCGTGGCGGTCGCGCCGCGAGACGATGGGCGTCGGCGCCCAGTGCTCGAGCTGGATCATGGCCGGGCTCTTGATCTTGTCCCCCGGCGCGAGGTTCTTCAGCGTCGAGATGCTCGACGCCTCGCTGTTCACGGTTCGCGCTATCGCCGTCTCCGCGCCTTGTATCCCGGGGGCTGCCCCATCATCGTCGTTAGCCACGGCACGATCGACCTTTGCCCCCTCATGTTGAATGTCTTCCACGCGGGCAGCATGTGCCCATCGTCACTGAAGTCGGGGCAGCTTCGCTTCCAGGCGATGCTGCTTCTTCTCGGCGCGGTCGGGCGCGCGTCGTCCCTGGCGTCGTCCCAGAGCGACTGCCCCAGGTCGTCCGCGCGCGGCAACTGGACGTTCCGCGAGGGCCGGTGCTACCTCCTGTCGTCGTCGTCCTTCGACTTCGAGACGTGCAACGCGGTCTTCTGCGCGTCGTTCAACGCGACGCTCGCCTGCGCCCGCGACGGCGCGGAGAACGGCTTCCTCGCGCGGGACGTGGGCGGCGGCGCGCGCGCGTCGTGGCTCGGCCGCTACCAGCGGCCCGGCCGGCCGCCCGCGGAGGGCTGGAATCGCCAGAGCTCGTCGACCTGCGCGAGCACCTACGCGAACTGGAAGAAGAACGCGCCCGACGACTTCATGGGCTGCGCCGAGAACTGCGCCGCCATGGGCGTCGAGGGCGACGACCGCTGGGACGACGTCGACTGCGGGCGCGCCGCGCGGTGCCTCTGCGAGTACCCCGGCGCCCCGCCGGCGGACTACGCGCCGCCGCCCGTGGTGACGACCTGCGCCTGGTGGTCCCTCGGCGAGTATTTGTTCATCGTCAGCTTGTTCGGGCTCGCGGCGGGCCTCGGCCTCGTCGCGCTCGTTCTCAAGACGAACGCGCCGGGGGCCCCGGCGGGCGCCGCGAGCCCCATGGTCGGCCTCCTGCCCGCCGTGCGGCCGGGGGGCTACGTCCTCGTGCGCTCGGGCTTCGAGGGCGGCCCGCCGCGCGAGTCGGAGCACGTGCTCCGCCTCTGCCGCGTCGTCCTGCAGCTGCTCGTGTCCCTGACGGCGCTGAACGTCGCCATGAAGGTCGCGCTCTTCGTGTTGTTGTTGTACTACGTCGTCAACGTCGAGGTCTACGCCGCGGGCTTCGCGACGTCCGCGGCCGTCCTCGTCGTCTCCGTCGGCGCCGCGGCCGTCGGCGTCGTCGGCGTGCGGACGCGCAACGAGCCCAAGGTCGCGCGCTTCGGCTACCTCCACGCCTTCGCGTGCCTCAACGCGCTGCTCATCCTGCTCTGGACCGCGGCCCTCGGCGAGACGGCGGCGAACCTCGTCAAAAACCGCGGCCCGGCGCCCGAGCTCTTCTCGTCGACGTACCACGACCTCGTCTTCGACGCGACCTTTTTATTCGGCCACGCCGTCGTCGCGCGGGCCACGGCCCAGCTCCTCGCCGCGATCCGCGACCTCAACGCGCTCGACGGCCCCGACGGCCAGGGCTACCACCTCCAGGGCGACGCCGACGCGTACCAGCGGGACGACGACGGGGAGACGCTGACGCACCTCTAACTGTTTTTTACATGACGGCGCAGCCCTTCTTGTCCTTGTCGCCGGCCGCGGGCGGTGCGGCGGCGTCGCCGCCGTCCGCGGGGAGCGGGTGGACCTTGCCGTCGGGCCGCGGCGTCTCGCGCGGCGTCGGCGCCCTCGACGGCGCCTTCGCCGTGGCGCCGCCCGTGGCGTGGGCCCCGTCGTCGCCGGGCGCCGGCGCCGCGTCGAGGGCGTCGGACGCGACCATGGCCAGCTCCACGTCCTTCACCTCCTCGTCCTTGCGCCGCTGCTCCTCCGCGGCCGCGGCCGCGGCGGCCGCCGCGGCCTCGTCGAGCATTTTCGCGTGGAACGCGGCGCTCCGCGTGCGCAGGTCCGCCAGCGCCGCGGGCAGCGGGCGCCGCTTCGTCGCCGCCGCCGCGTAGCCCCGCGTCGCGGCGCCGAGCGCGTCGTCGGCCGCGCGGACGCGCGCGGCGATGAGGCGGCGGCGGAACGCGACGCGCCACGCGCGCGCGACCTTGCGCCCGTGGACGACGTGGGAGATGGCGTCGACGCGGTAGGCGCGGTCCCGCGCGTCGCGGTGGCGCGCGGCCTCCGCCGCCTCGTAGGCCCGGCGCATGGCGGCGTCCGCCGTCGCGTGCGCGTCGCGCGCGCAGCGCTCCGCGGCGCGGCCCGCGGCCTCGCGCGCGGCCGCGGCGGCCTGCGCGGCCTTCTTCAGCTGCTTCGCCTCGGCGGCGACGGACGGCGCGGACCCGTACTTGCGCTCCATCTCGAGGTCGACGCGCGCGAGGGGCCCGAGGAGCCAGGGCGCGAGGGAAGGGTCGTTGCGCCGCCGCGTCGGGTCCGCCGCGAGGCGCGCGTCCGTCTCCGCGTCGTCGTCGCCCGCCCGGAGCCGGTGCTTGGGCTTGAGCAGCGTCGGCGGCGCCTCGAAGCCCAGATGCCGCAGCGCGGCGTCGACGGCGCCGCGCGCGTCGCGCGCAGACGCCGCGAGGCTAAAGTCGTCGTCGCGCGCGACGCGCGCGGACGCGGCGTCGTCGACGAGGCGCGCGTAGAGCGCCCCGAGCAGCGCCCCCGCCGCGCGCTTCACGTCCATGCGCGGGTCGCGCCGCAGCGTCGCGACGCAGAGCGCGACGACGTCCTGCGGCGCGAGCCGCGAGTCCCGGAGCGCGCCCGACCGCGCCACCAGCAGCGCGAGCGCCCGGAGCCGCGCGGCCGCGAGGCGCCGGCTCGCGATGGGCCGCGCCGCCGAGTCCGCGTAGGTCTCGAGGTCGTCGAGACCGGCGACGTCGCGCGCGGCGCCGCACGGCGGCGCGGGCGGCAGCACGGCCGCGGCGACGACCGCGGCGCCGAGCCAGTGGAGGTTCGCCAGTTTCAGCAGCGTCTTCGTCGCCCGGCGGCTCGCGCGCTTCGCCGCCTGGGACGCGAAGGCGTCCTCGCCCAGGTCCCGCCGGCGCAGCCGCGGCAGGCGCTGCGCGACGAGCGGCAGCAGCCGCCGCAGCGCGACGAGCGCCTCCCGCAGAGGCGACCCCGTGGACCGCACGCCCAGGCGCAGCACCTCCCAGGGCCGCAGGTGCGCGTCGTCGTCGTCGTCGTCGCGCCGCCGCGGCGACGCGGCCGCGTCCTGTCCCGCGTCGATGAACCGGATCTCGTTCGGCTCGATGAGATTCTGCGAGTCGCGCGCGCTCCGGAACTTGACGTTGCGCTTCGCGCGGCCCTTGAAGACGTCGACCAGGAGCCGGTTCGCCGCGATGAAGACGTCCGCCGACGCGTCGGCGAGGCCCTGTTGCAAGAGCGTCACGAGCGCGGCGAAGAGGAGGCGCCGCCGCCGGAAGGGCGCGAGCTCCGGCGGGCCCGTGCCCCGGCCGCCGTCGTCCGGCGCGGCGCCGTAGCGCCGCGTGCGCTCCGCGTCGACCTCGAACAACGCCAGGTCGTCGGCCGCGGCGCCGAGCGCGGCGCCGTCGACGCGCGACGCGCCGTCGCGGACCAGGTTGAACACCTGGCGGCGCATGATCCAGTTGCCCTGGCACGCGAAGGCCAGGGCGAGGTCCCCCACGGCCGCGACCAGAGCCCGGTCCACGGCCCGGCACCGCGCGGCCCGCAGCGCGGCCTCGCCGCGCGCCGCGCCGGCCGTCGCCGCGTCCTCAACCAACACGACGCGCGGCGAGTCCTTCGCCGCCTCGTCGACGATCTTCACGCGCCGCAGGCCGCCGCCCGAGTCCTCGTCGACGCGCGCGTGCAGCAGGGCCGCCAGCGGCGGCGCGAAGAAGGGCCCGTCGCCGTCGTCGCCCGGCCCCGGCCGCGCGGCCGCGCCGAGCGCGCGCCGCACGGCCCACTCCTCGTAGCCCCCCGGCGGCGGCGGCGGCGGCGACAGGGCGACGGCGTGCATCTGGCCCAACGCGTCGGCGACGGCCCCGGCGTCCGCGATGTTCTCGCTGTCCATCCAGAGCACGAGACGCGACGACACGGTCTCGGGCCCGCGGAGCAGCCGCTCGACGGCCGCGCGCGGGTCCCCGTCGTCGCCGCCGAGGCGCAGCGGCACGCCCTCCAGCGGCTCCAGGGGCCGCTCGTCGAAGCCCCAGAAGCCGTCGGCGGAGAGCACGGGCAAAGCGGCGTCGAAGGACCCGCCGCCCGCGGGAAAGTGGCGCGCGCCGCCGTCGCCCGTGACGGACGCCAGGCCGTCGATGGTCGACGTCATCATCGACGCGTCCGTCAGCGTCATGTCGTTGGCGTCGGGCTCGCTGTCGGACCCCGCGGCCCCGCCGTCGCTCTCGTCGCTCTCGGAGTCGACGGGGTCCGGCGGCGCGAACGCCTCGTCGCCGTCCTTCGACGCGCGCTTCGCGCGGCGCCGCGCGCGGAGCTTCGCGGACGTCGCCACGTCGAAGACGGCGTCCGTCGCGTCGCGCCGCGTCTCCTTGGCCGCGCCCGACGCGTCGAGGCTCGCCGCGAGGTCGCCGTCGTCGCGCGACGCGTCGACGGGCTCCGCGCCGCCCGGCAGCGCGGCCGCCGCGTCCCGGCTCCAGGCGTGGCAGAAGACGGCGCCGCGCGGCGGCGCGGGCAGGTCGCCGTCGTCGTCGTCCTCGGGCCGCCGCGGCGAGAGCGGGTCGCGGCCCGCGCCGTCGCCGTCGTAGTCGTCGAGCGCGCGCCGCAGCACCCGCAGCCGCTCCTCCTTGAGCGCGCGGCCGCGGCGCTGCTCCGCCGACGCGCCGTCGAAGTCGTCCCGCGCGGCGCAGGCGCGCATCTCCTCGGCGCTCTCGCGCGCCTCCGCCGCGAGCGCGCGGCCCCGGGCCAGGGCCGCCTCGAAGGCGGCCGCGGCCGCGGCGCGCTTGGAGGTCTTCGCTCGATGGAGGCCCGTCTCCAGCGAGCGCAGCAGCGCGTCGTCGTCGGCGGCCGGCGGCGGCGTCGCGCGCGGCGTCCGCTGCGGCGGCGGATGCCGCTCGGGCGCGGCGGGGAAGAGCGCGCGCGAGACGGACGCGTCGCTCGACCGCCGCGCGGCCGCGCGGTCCGACGCGCGGCCGCGCGCGAGCCCCGCGACGACGTCCGCGGCCACGCCCGACGCGACCAAGGCCCGCTCCGCGTCGTCGAGCGCCTCCTTCGCGAGATCCGCGCCGCCGCTCCCGCGCGACGCCTCGAGGCGGCTCTCCGCGTCCGCGCCGCGGAGGAGGATCGCGGCGAGCGCGACGCAGTGCTGCCGCCGGCGCCGCAGCGGGAGCGGCGTCGCGCCCCAGGAGCCGCCCGGCCGCAGCGCCGTGAGCGGCTCGTGCACGACGAGGCGCACGAAGCGGCAGCGCCGCGCGGGCCGCGCCAATCGCGCGAGCTTCGCCTCGCGCTCCGGGCCGCCCCGCGCGGGCCGCCGCGCGTCCCGCCGCGCGTCGCCGTGGAAGTCGACGGCGCCGACGCGCGTGAACACGGCGTCGCCGTACTCGCCGCGCCAGCGCCGCCGCAGCGTCGCGAGCGCCTCCGGCTCGCGCGAAAAGTCGTCGCGCGGCGCCTCGCCCTCGCCGGACGCGACGTAGACCTCGACGCGCCGCGGCGCGAGCGACTCGTGCGCGACGAAGCGCAGCGCCTCCAGCGTCGCGTCGCCGACCCAGAGCCCGACCTCGACGGGGAAGCGGTGCCGCGCGTCCGACACCCAGCACCCGCCGCCGGGCTCCTCGAGGCACCGCGCCGGCGCCTCGGACGATTCGCTGCTGCAGTAGACGACGACGTAGGGGAGGGTCGCGGCCATCGGGCTGCGTCGCTCTTCGTCGAGACGCGCGCTGCGACGACGACGCCGCGCGGCGCGTCCCAGATTACGGGCTGGCTCCAGCCAACTGCCTTGTCGTCAACGTGCAGAGCATCAACGGCTTCACAAATCCTGGCATCGTGTCGCGCCTCGCGGCTGGGATCTGCGCACGCGTGAGCTCGGCGCGACCTCGGCGCCGCCGTCGCGCGGACCTCCTCGCGCGCGAGCCATGTACACGGCCCTGATCTCCCTCTGGGGCGTCTGGCGGAGCTTCAACGCCTTGAAGGCGAAGAGCGAGGCGGACAAGGTGCGCTGCCTGCGCTACTGGGTCGTCTACGGCTGCTTCGCCTTCTACGACGCCTACGTCGACTGGCTCGTCACCTGGGTCCCGGGCCACGCCCTCGCGAAGCACGGCGCGGCGCTCGCGGCGTTCCTGCTCCCGCCGTCCGCGGGCGCGACCGACTACGTCTTCTCCTACGCGGTGCTCCCGCTCGCGTACCTCGCGCGCCTCGGCGCGGAGCGGGGGCTCTTCCTCGTCCTCGCCTTCGGCCACGACGTCGTCACGCACCACGAGCGGCGCCGCAGCGAGCGGCGCCTGTCGCGGAGGTTGGAACAGGCCGACGTCGACGGGGTCGCGAAACCAAAGGACGAGGCCGCGACGGAGTTCGACTTTAAACCGAAGGAGGAGACGGAGTTCGATTCTAAACCGAAAGACGAGACGGAGTTCGATTTCAAGCCGAAGGACGAGGTCGCGACGGAGTTCGACTTCAAAGCGAAGGACGAGGTCGCGACGGAGTTCGACTTTAAGCCCGAGGACGACGCGGAGCTCGAGCCGAAGGAGGAAGCGGAGGATCCCGTCGAGGCGCCGCCGGGGCCGCCGGCGAAGGTGTCCGAGGAGCCGGCCGTCGAGGAGGAGGCGGTCGTCGAGGAGGGGCCGGCGGAGCCCGCCGCCGAGGAGGAGCCGCCCGTCGCGGCCAAGGAGGCGCCCGAGCCGGCGACCGGCGCGCCCAAGGCCGCGAAGCGGGCGGAGGCGCCGGCGCCCGCCCCCGAGCGACGGCCCGCCAAGAAGCCCGGTCCCCTGGCGGCGGCGCGCGCGTGGAAGCCGCGGGGCGTCGGCACGCCGCAGGCGCGAAGCGAGCCGGAGCCCAGGGCGACGCCGCCGTCGTTCCGCGCGGCGCCGGACCGCTTCGGCCGCGCCCGCGCGGCGCCGGCCGGCGCGAAGAAGCCGCCGCCGAAGAAGACGACGACGACGCGGCCGCCCTGGGGCAGCGCCGCGGGCGCGCGCGCCGGCGCCGCGGCCCGCGCGCCCGCGCCCGGGTCCGCGGCGGCCGCGCGCGCCAAGGCCCGCGTCGCCGCCGCGAGTCGGACGCCGACGAAATTTTCCCCCAAGGAGCCGGCGAGGAAGTCGATCTTCCAGTCCATGGCCGACTCCATGTCGCCTCGCCGCCCGACGCCCAGCGACTCCGAGAGCGACGCATAACGCGGCTTTGTGTGTGGTCATTTCTGCGTACGCTGGCCATTACGGGGGCGCGTCTAGTCGAAGAGCCCGCCGCCGGACTTGCCCTGGGCCTGGTCGATGTAGGCCGAGAAGTCGAAGTTGTCGTCGACGGCGGGCGGCGGCGGCGCCGCGGGCGCCGCGGGCGCGGGCGCGGCCGCGCGCGCCGGCGCGGCCGGCGCGGCGTCGAGGTCGCCGAGGTCGTCGAGCTTGTCGAGGACGCCGAGGTCGAGGTCCGGCCGCGCGGCCGGCGGCGGCGGCGCCCCCGCCCGCTTCACGTCGGACGCGCCGAAGAGCGAGTCGTCCGCCGCGAGGCCGCTGAAGTCCTCCTTCTCGAGGATCTTGCCCACCAAAAGGTCGTCGATCACCGCGTCGTCGCTCCGCGACCGGAGCACGACGCCCCGCGGCGCCCTCGCCTCGCCGAAGAGGTCCGCGTCGGCGTCGGGCGCCGGCGCCGCGGCCGCGCCGCCGAAGAGGCCCCCCGCGCCCGCCGTCGCGGCGCCGTCCGCGAGCGCCGCCGACGACGCGCCGACGGCCGGCGCGAGCGACGAGAAGTCGACGCCGAGGCCCATGCGCACGTCGTCGCCGTGCAGGTCCTCGCGCACGACGCGGTCGCTCGGCGGCGCCGCCGCCGTCGGCGCCGGCTTCGGCGGGGCGGCGGCGCCCTTGATGGCGACCTTGCTAAAGTCGAGCGCCCGCAGCTCGGGCTCCTCGGCCGCTTGGGCGACGGGCGCCGGGGCCGTCTTCGACGCGGGCACGAAGTCGTCCTCGAAGAGGGACGCCATGGGATCGTCGGAGAGGTCCACCTTCGTGCGCGCCGCCATGGTCGTCGTCTTCGGGCAGCCCCAGATCCTCGGGTGCGGCACCATTGGGTAAATGAATTCTGCAAGTCGGAGCCACGCCCGTAAAAACCAGTCAGCCAGTCGAGCGGTCGCCTCTGCACACAATTCCGCACGCGAAACATGACGCTCGCGACGCTCACGGCGCTGCTCTGCGCGACGACCGCCTCTGCCCTCGCGCCCGCGCCGACGCGCGCGCGCGCCGTCGCCGCTCCGCGAACGCTGACGTGTTTTGAAAACGGGGTGGCTTCTTCTCCTTCTTCGAGGCCCTCGATGGCCTCCGTTCCCACGAAGGAGCGGACCACGACGCGACCGCGCACGGCGTCGCCCGGCGGGTCGACGAAGCGCGGCCCGCAGCGCGACGACTACGCGTCCGCCGGAGGCTCGCCGTTCGAGTGGGCCATGGACAAGGACTCGACGCGCCGCGACGAGGACAACTTCCACATCCTCCTGCTGAACTCGACCTTCGCGAAGCCGCGCATGACCGTCCCCTACGCGGCGGGCGCGCTCTGCCTCGTGCTGGCCATGCCCGAGGACGACGCGATGGACCACAGCGACTTCGCGATGCAGCAGGGCTTCTCGTGTCTGGGCACCTGGCGGCGCGACGAGTGTCTGAAATACGCGGAGCAGCTCCAGGGCCGCGACCTGAGCGTGCGCGCCGTGCCCGGGGTCAAGGGCCGCCAGGCCTGGCAGGGCGAGCCCGCGAACGCGAGCCCGCAGAAGCTCCCGGCCAAATGAACGCCCCACACCGTGTAAAAGGGCTGGACATAGACGCTTACGCCGCCTTCGTCCGCACGCGGCGCTCGTCGTCGGAGTCGTCGGAGTCGCGCGCGCGCTTCGGCGCCTCGTCGTCCTCGTCCTCGTCCTCGTCGACGCGAAGGCCCTTGGCGTCGAAGAACGCGTACCGCTTCTTGAGGAGCGAGTGGACGTCCCAGGTGCCCTTCCAGCCCTTGGGCGCCGTGACCATGTCGCGCGCCGCGACCGTCACCGGCGCGCCGTGCTTCTCGGCGTCGTCGGGCGTGAGCGTCGCGCTGCCCTCGAGGACGTAGAACTTCTCCTCCATGTCGAAGGTCCAGGGGAAGCTCTTGCCGTAGGCGTGATGCTGCGACGGCGCGCCGGTCTTCGACGGGTCGCAGTCCCAGGTGCCCCAGGTCGCCACCGACGGCGGCTCGCCCGTGCAGCGCCGGCCGCCGAAATTGTGGACGACGGTGATGGGATGCTGTTTTGTTTTCTTCTTCGGCGCCATGCTTGCGTGTCGGCGCGCGGCGGGAAGCCCGCGCGTGTTGTCGTGCGGCGGGCTCGCTCTGCGGGCACCTTGTTGCCACCAGGTCGATGATGTCGATGGTGAACTGAGAAGTGAAACTTTTTAAGGCAAGGAAGGTCTTAACTCCGAACTCTCAGCCGGCGGACGTCGAGGACAAAACCGACACCCTGCTGCGGATCGGCTCCAAGGCCGCGCTGGCCGGCGACGCCGTCGTCGCCTGCGCCGGCGAAGGCGGCCTGCTCTCCGTCGCCAAGTCCCTCGCGGCCGCGGGCCTCACCAAGGTCCAGACCAACCGCCTCCGCCGCGCGCGGTCGGGCGCGTAGGTCGGACCGCCTAAGCTTCTCCGGTCGAACGTGGACACGGGCCCACGGGTGGGCGCATCGGCCTTCGGATCGCGCGCGCGGCGTTGGAATTTTCAAAAGTGCAACATTAGCCGCTGAAACCAATTGGCTGAAACAGGGAAATAGAAAAGCTGCTGGGATATTTGTCGATCATCATCACCCACCCGCGAACTTGGGGCTGGTCCCACGTCCTCTCGGCCACCATGGGGATGGAGAACCTGAAGCGGCGCCTCTACAACAAGATAAGCCCGCAGCGCAAACACCAGCTGGAGCAGGAAAATCGGCCCATCCAGAACGCAATCGAGAACGCCTTCACGCTCGGCCTCTACTGCCCGCGCCCCCCGCGTCCCGCCCCCCCCCCCCGCCCGCCCGCCGCCGAGGCCGCGCGTCCCGCGCAGACACCTTCGGCTGCCTCGTGCTCTGCCTCGGCCCGGAGCAGTTCAGCGTGCGCGAGGCGTGCTACTTCCTGACGGTGTCGATGACGACGGTCGGCTACGGCGACGTGTCGCCCACGACGAAGAGCGCGAAGCTCTTCATGATGGTCTACATCCTCATCGGCCTCGCCGTGTGCCTCCCCATCGCCATGGACGCCGGCGCCTACGTCCACACGCACCTCATGGTCTTCCTCATGAAACTCGCGGACAACAACCCGGACGACAACCGGAGCCCGCAGTGGGTCAAGGGCGTGCTCGCGGTGGTGGAGATCGTGCTGCCCATCCTGTTCGGCACGGGCTACTTCGTGATGACGACGGCGGGCGACGAGGAGTGCGCCTGGGGGAATCTCGACGCGCTCTGGTGGACGTTCATGACCGTGACGACGGTCGGCTACGGCGACCTGTCGCTCTGCCACCCGAAGACGGACATGGTCTTCCTCATCTTCTTCGTCCTCTTCAGCGTCGTCTTCGTCACCGCGGCCATCACGACGCTGTCGAAGCTCGGGGACGACATCCGCAAAGAGGCGCGCGAGGCGGAGCTGCTCGCGTCGTTCAACATCGACATGATCAAGGACCTCGACACGGACGGCGACGGCGTCGACAAGAACGAGTACGTCCTGGGCATGCTCGCGGCCATGGGCCACCTCGACGACGAGACGATCCTCAAGTACAAGCGGCAGTTCGACGAGTACGACGCGGACGGCTCCGGCAAGCTGACGAAGGACGACCTGGACCTCATCGACGCCAAATACAAGGCGTCGGCGGAGGCGAGCCGGAGCAAGGTCGGCCGCGACCTGTCCATGTCCGAGGCGCTCGAGCGCGCCGCGCTCCACGCGATCGACACCACCGAGGCGCTGATCGAGGGCGTCGAGGACAAGCTCGAAGCCGCGGAGGAGACGATCGTCAAGGCCGGTCAACGCATGACGGGCGCGAGCGAGGCCGACATCGTCGAGGCCATGGAGAAGAAGAAGGAGCGCAAGGCGCGGAAGAAGGAGCGCAAGGCGGCGAAAAAGCGCGCGGCGGCCGCGGCCGACAACCGGGCCGCCGACGCGTTCTGCTGCCTGAACCCCGAGATGCCCGCCGACGACGCCGCCGCGCGGGTCTAACACCGATGTGCTTAGCGGCCCCGCCGCGCGTTGAGCCACGCGGACGCGCGCGGCGTCGCGGCGAGCACGACGGGCAGCCGCGCGAACTCGATCCAGCCGTTGAGCTCCATGGCGATGAACGCGTTGATCAGGTCCTTGGACAGCGGGCCGTCCTGGATCCAGGTCAGGTCGTAGGGGATCCGGAGCTGCTCCGCGCCCCACAGCACGAGCTCGGGGCCGTCGACGCCCCCGACGGTCAGCGCGCCCATGAGCGGGACGAAGGTCGCCGTGTACGCGACCGTGTAGACCCCGGCGAACGCGACGCCGTGCTCCCGAAACAGGGTCCGGATCTTCTCCCACTTCGACGGCGCCGGCGCCGGCTTCTTGTCGCCCTCGCCGCCGGCCGTCGCGAGGCCGCGGCATGGCTGAAACGGCGGCCATCGATGCGTCGTCGGCGCGCATCGACGCGCGCGGACGCCGCGCGGCCGCGCGACGCGCGCGAAGCGCAGTGCTGTGTGCCGCAGCATGCGCTTCAAGCACGCGGGAGGCGCGAGAAGCTGCGACAAGTAGCTATAGCGGCGGCAAGCAAGCCTTGCCCTCGGCTCTTGAACAACCTCGTTTTTGCCTGAAACCGGCGAGTTCGGCCAACCTCGGCAGCGCCTTGCGCGCGCCGCCCCGCGCCGCGCCCGCCCCATAGCTCGGTCGAGGCCGTGTCTGAGGGCCCCGACGCACCTTGGCTCGCGCAAAACGGCGCCGTTCGCGCCGAGGAGCGACGATTCACGAAATTCGCTGCACGCGTCGTCGCCGCGCGATCCGCCGCCGCGATCGGCAGTCGGCGCCCCCCGCGCCCAAAAAAATAG